GCATCGGGAGGGCTGTGCAACACAGAGAAGACAAGTAGTGATTCTACAGCATCTTACTACGCTGATGGACAGTGACTGCAATGGGGTTTGTGGGGGGTACTTGGTGATGGTGGGAGTCTAGTAAACATAATGTTCCTCATGTAATTCTCGTTTAAGATACCAAAAAAATAAAAATAAAAATAATGAATGCAATTGGTTGAATCTCATTGATTATTAAGTCCTAGGAGTTCATTATAGTAAAAAAGAAAAAAAAGAAGAGAAGTCAACAGTAGCACAAAAACCCAACTCATTGGAAACCACCCCCACTGGAAGTAACTAGGGCTGACAACTGGAAATAATTAAGAAAAGAAGTATGTATTCTACTTTCCTTGTTTGAGCATTGTTGCAAGGTGACTTAATAGCCCTAGTTTATGAGGGCAAGTTCTTTGCTTTGGAAAGTACCAGCTAATAAACAAAGAAGGAATAGTAGTAATAGAAACTATTTTTGAATCCTTAATAAAATAATTATTTCAAGTAATGATTTCCAGTGGATGAAACCATTAGATGAAAGCCTGACAGGGAACTTTACAATGAAGGGATCAGCTGTAACTATGGGAACTCATCACTTAAAGTGGGGCAACCAGGGTTGCAAGCCTCCTGATGTGATGCAACAGGGTTCAACAGCATGAGCTATGAAATAATCTTGCCAAAAACTTTAATAGAAAATGCAATAAAGGAACAAGGCAAACAATATCAGAAGGAGAATAAAAGAATTTCCACTCTCCTAGGAAAAGACATTGTTATGTCACTGTGGTAAGAAGACAGCCTCCAGAACAATACATTCAACTGATCAAAGACAACTTGCCTAGGTGAACGTTTTTTTGCAAACCAATAAATCATTAACTGCTCTTCATCAAGCAAGAATAGACTGACTCCAATTACCATACCTGAGTGCCAGCTGAGCAACAACAGCCTCACCTGAGTAACCACTCTTACAGATGATGTTAACTCACTTGTGGCCTTGAAAATCTCCAATTCTTGAACTCCACCCTTTCCCAAAGCCCTATATAAGAACATCGGTCTACTTTGCTTGGAGAGACTACTGGATCAGCACCACTTTNTATATATATATGCCTTTGGTTTTGTCAGATATTGAGAGGGGTCTCATCTTTTGACAAGATAAATTCATAAAGTGGAATTCTATAAAACTGACATGGTTTCTACAAATAAATGGCAGGGGAAAAACTGAGGTGGACTGTTTTAGGTGAACAGAAGCTTAAGAAATACAGCCAAATGAAAGTACAGACTTGGTTTGGGACTGTAAAGGCACAGTTCTGGAGAAAATCTGAAAATCTGGTTAATGATTGGTATTTGGTGGATCCTTAAGCATTCTAACTAGTTTTGTTAGATGTGGTTACATAAGAAAACATCCCCATTTTTTAGAGATGCAAACCGAAGTAGGTGAGAAATGATTTGTTTGGAATGCTTAAAATATTTTCAGTAAAGAAGAAAAGAAAAAGAAGAATGGATGCAGAAATATGGCAAAATCTTAATGACTGGAATCTAGATGACTGGTATATATGTGTTTATTGTGTTAGTCTATTTTTGTGAATTTATGTTTGAAAATTTTTGTAATTAAAAAGAGGAAAGAAAGCAGGCCAAGAAAGAATGGTGAAGCAAGGGAGACCAAAACAGGAATGGTTGAAGAGGTAACAGAAGCAGATGAAAGTAGAAAAACTAAGGGGGAAAGGCACAGTCAACAGTGTCAAATACTCCTGAGAGACATCTTCCTTACCAGTCCCATCTAAAATGGTACCCTGAAGTAAAGAGTAAACACTTCGAGAGTCCCTATTGCTATTACTATCTGCAATTATTATATTTATTTGTTTTAATACTAATTGTCTCCCCCCACCCAGAATGTGAGCTCTGTGAGACCACAGATTTTGTTGGTCTTGCTCACACTGCATCCTCAGTACACATAGCAAGACCTCAATCATCTGCTGAATGAACTGTTTGAACAAATGGTACACAGAATCAGCTTTCTAACAATGTGCCACTGGTTTAAGTAACCAGGAGATGACCACAGTGAGACAAGTTTCTGTAGAGTGGTGGGAATGAACAAATAGGCTGCAGAATTAAAGCAGCCAAAAAAATGGTAGCAGAAAGCACAGACCACTCTTTAAAGAAGCTTTGTGTTGAAAGGATTCAGGAAGATGGTGCAGAAACTTGAAAGGAAGGCCAGCTCAAAGAAACAGTTTTTTTCAACACTAGTGTGTGTTAGTTGAAATGAAGGTGCTAGAGTAGATGGAGTGATGACAATTCAGTGAACATTCACTTATACAGCAAATATTTTTTAACCTTTTTTATTGTGAAGAATAACGAAGTGCAAAAATAAAAACAAAACAAAACCCCAAAGTATACAGCTCAGTGATTTATCACAAAGTGTGTAGCCATCTGGCCAAGCAATATAATACTGCCAGAACACCTCATCGAATGTAACCACTTTCCTAATTTTGCCTCAGGTTTTTGCCATCTAAATACAGACCTTAAAAACTATAGTTTGCTTTTAAAACTTTATAAAAAGAATTATTTGGTACTTATTGTCTCATGTCTGAACTGCCTTTGCTCAACACTACTGTGAGATTTACTCAAGTCATTACACTAACTGTGTTTTGTTCATTTTCTTTGCTGTAGGGCATGATATACCCATGGGCCAAAGGCTTCAGCCAGTTTTTGCATGGCTTTTGAGCTAAGAATGGCTTTTACATTTTTAAAGTGTTGGAAACAAACAATGAACAATAAGAATATGTGACAAGAGACTGTATAAGGCCTGGAAAGCCTAAAATATTTACAGGGAGTCTGTCAACCCCTGCTGGACTCCAATATATGGCTATACCACAATTTATTAATCCATTCCACTGTTTATGATCCAGTTTCCACTTTTTGGCTATTACAAACAATGCTATGAACACCTTTGTACTTGTTTCTTGATGTGCAAGTAACTTGATGCATATAAATTGGGTGCCTGCCTAGAAGTGGGATTATTAGATGAGGTTATGTATTTGCCTTTAGAAGCTAACTGCTTTCCAAAATGGTTCTGCAAGTATTTCTATTTCTTCCAGCTATGTATATGTTGCCACTGCCTCATCAGCACTTTGTATCATCAGTCTTTTTACTGTTAGCTATTCTGGTGCAGATGCAGTTGTATCTCACTACAGTTTTAATTTGCATTTTCTGATTGAGGGTGAGCATCATTTTATAAGTTTATTGGCCACAGAATATCCTCTTTGGTGAAGTTCCTATATCTCCTACCCATGTTTTTATTGGGCTCTTTCTTATTGATTGACTGGAGTTCTTGATATATTCTGGATACAAGCCCTTTGTTGGCTATATATGTCACAAATTTCTTCTACTCTTAATGGAATCTTTTAATGAGAAATTATTAATTTTGATGTAGTAATAATTTATGGATCATTTTCTTGACGTCTAGTGCTTTCTGTGTCTAAAGACTACTATCCTTACCTCAAGGTTATGAAGATATTCTATCTACTCTTCTGGAATTATTTTTGCCTTTTTACCTATGTATATATTTCTAATATGTTTGGAAATGATTTTTGTGTATGTTGTAAGTTGTAAGGTAAGGATTGTTTTATCTTTTTCTATATGAATACCAATTTTTCTAGCACAGTTTATTTTAAAAGGCTGTCCTTTCTCTAGTGCTCTTCAATTTCCAATTATCATAAATTAAGTGCCTATATATGTATTAGATCTATTACTGGGCTTTCTATTCTATTGCACAAGTCTGTCTGCTATATTTGTTTCAATGCCATATTGTCCGAATTACAGTTATAGTAAGACTTGATACTTGGTAAAGCAAGTCTTCCTATCTTGATCTTCTTAAGCAGTGTTTTAGCTATTCTTAGTTTTTTTATTATTATATTAGAATCAGTTTATCAAGTTATACACAAAAAATTTGTTAGGAGTTAAATTTGATTTGCACTGAAACCATGGTTATTTCTTTTCTATCTCTTCCTTGTGCCCAACATGGTAGTCAGTAGCCACATACAGCTACTAAGCACTTTAAATGTGGCTAGCGCAAATTGTGAGAATAAAATACACACTGAGTTTCAAATAAGTATGAGAAGAATAATGTATATCTAATTAATCATTTTTTGATGTTGATTACATGATAAAATGGTATCTTGGATATGCTGGCTTAAATAAAATATATTAAAATTAATTTCAATTATTTCTTTTTAATTTTTAATGTTCTTACTAAAGAATTTAAAATTACATATGTTGTCCACATTATATTTCTATTGGATAACACTGATCTATAGAATCCACATCTTTACAATATTGGGTCTGTCATAATGTGAATATGGTAGAACTTTCCAAGGTTTTTGGTCTTTTAAATTTCTTTAAATAAATTTTTCTTATTTTTTGCATAGAGTTCATGCATAACTTTTGCTACACTTATCCATAGGTATCTGGTATTTTTTATACTCTTATAAAGTTATCTTCTTTAAAAATTCCATTTTCTATTAGTATACAGATATGAAATAATTTTATTTATTGATCTTTTATTAGCAACTTTGCTAAATTCTTATTAATTTCAACAATTTATATGAAGATTTGGATTTTCTATGGACACAATCATGTTATCTAAATAATGATAATTTTATTTCTTCTTTTTAAACCTTACACCTTTCTTCTTTAGCTTCCATTACTATAGTTGTTAGTACATCCAGGACACAGCGAACAGAAGTAGAATAACGGGTATCCTTGTCATACTCCAAATCTCAGATGAAGCATTCAATATTTCACCATTAATGTGAGGATAACATGAGTACTCTAAATCTAAGAGGTGTGCTCAAATTTAAACCATATAATATTGGTGTCATATTAATGAATTTCTTAGTTATTGTTTACACTGTACCCAACATTCTAAAATCTCACTTTTTAGTTTGAAGTATTTATTTTTAAATCCCATCAAAATATATCCACTAGGGAATACTTACTTAAGAATCATAGTCATTGTTTCTTTTCGATCTTTTCCCTGGAAAGGTAGTGTACCAGTGAGCATCTCAAACTACAAAAAGGTAAAATTACCAGAGGTATTAGTCAATAAGTATAAAATTTCAATGCCAAAAGGTAAAAAAGCATCATCTTAGTTACAAATCTTCTAATTTGCTACATAATAAAACAAGTGCTGTATGTTTCTACTAGATTCATTATTGAATGTCTCGAAAAAACATCTCAAACCTTACCATTAACACACCAAAAGACCACCAGTCTGCACTCTGAGTATGACCTCGACGATTAACTACTTCTGGAGCCATATATTCCACAGTTCCACAAAAAGAATATGCCTTCTTTTCATGGTCAATAGATTCTTTACTTAGGCCAAAATCTGCCAAAATAAATATCAAATTCATAAATACCGTGTAATAATTTGCATATGTAAAGTTTAAACTGAGTTCCAATATTTACATTAATTATTGAAAAAATTCTAACCCAACTTTTTGACACAATTATGTTACTCAATATTTGTACCCTGATAAATCTTAAAGGAAATTATATAGGAGAGAATATTTTAATAAACTGAGGATTCTTACCTGTTAACTTGATGTGACCTTCCTCATCAAGAAGTATGCTGAAAGAAAAAGTCAGAAAATCTTTTCAAACCACTAAATAGAGAGCTATAAAAGCTAAAACTGAAATTACTTTGTTAATCAGATCACCCAATCATTCTAAAATACTGCTGTAGACTGTGAGAAGACAAAGGTAAAGAAGGAAAAAAAATTTTTTTGACACATATGTAACAACCTTCAAAGGCAAAGCCTTATAAACTTGTGTTAAATGAGCCAGGGAGCACTTGAAAACTATTAGGAAAAGAACCATAACCTATACTCTTCTAAGTTGCTCCTTAATGCCTTTCTGCAGAGGTGGCCTAACTAAAATCGTTAGTGCTTGCCCAACAGACATAGAGAAGATCCACATATTTAAGTCAAATGCATTAGAGTTGTCATTCTTTTGGTCATTTTTAAGGCAGGTGACTCAATCATTCTTTCCTAGCTTTTTTTCTGACATGACCTATCCAATTCTCTTCTCAACACACCTTCCTCACAACTCCTTGTTTTCACTGACCCATCCCTTCACTGTATATATTCTTTAGTGTTTTCCATCTTTCTCAGTAAATTGTGGGCTCCTAGACTTTATTCGTCTTTTGGCTTACTGCCTGCCAGAGACAGACAAATAAGAAATGTATGTTGAATGACTGTGGCCAGTCTACTAAGGGCCAATAAGGCATTCTAAATAGTTGGGGCCTCTTCTCAAGGGTACTGTACACCATAAAAGGTTTACATGCACAGAGGGTAGAGATAATCAGTTCCACAATTTTATAAAACAGTTTAGAGGGAAAATCATGATAGAGAAGAACAAAGGGACAAGACACAGGTTTCTGGCTTTAGCAAATACTTGAGAGGTTAATGTCATTAATTAAGGAGCTATAGAAAGGGTTAAGTACTAAGCTCTAAGCAAATAATTATACTTCTGGACAGGTAGGTATTTTAGTACACTGACCTGAAAGGCCAAATAATAGACTGTTTTACTTATAGTCAAGGCTATTCCATAATATAGGCATTTCATGACTTTTAATGTAAGTATAAAAATGTGCAAGCCAAATTTTGTTAAAATACAATTTCACTGTATCAAAATCCTACCAGCTTTTCTCTGTTAACAATTTAACTATGGTTACAATAAAGTTTTCCACTGAGGGTAATTCAGAAGGGACATATTTTTCAAGTCTCTTTCATAACAAAGGACTTGCTTTGAAAAAATGCTAATCTTGATTATGCTTGATTATGAAGCTAACACATTTAGAGAATATAAAGGGAATTATTAGGTATGGTGGAAATCATCCTTCCTTCTACCTGATAAATACATGAAAGACAGTTCTAAAAACAAAATAAACCTCAAATCATTCTTGGTAATTTTGAGAGGAAAAAAAGAAAACATGGCTACAAGGGCATTTTATATCTTCTATAGCAAATGCATTCTTTTAAGATAATCAAGTCCATCCTTTAATCTCTGAAAGAAAAAGCCAATTGCATTACTCTCAATATGCAAAGTTTCCTTACAGTCCTATCTACATTTGATCTTATTTGACCTGTCAGAGGTCAATTATATATTTATATATAATTACATATAATTTTATGACCAATGCTGATATAATGGGCTACAATACATGCAATTAAATGATATAAAACACTAACACATATTTTTATTATGAGTGTTTAATCTTACATTTCTAGCAAATATTTTCTTCAAAGGATTACATGGTTGAATATTTTTCCCATAAGGAATTATATTTTATGTCACAATAGTTAGAAATTGGGAAAATGATGAGAAAAAGTCAGTAATTATCTGGGAATAAAAGCAGAACCATATGAAACTCACCCAAAAACAAAATATATGAAAAAAATGTAAAATGTGAAAGTATTAACAATTTCTAAATGATCACTTAACAAAATTCCAAAGGGGCATTTTCTGTTTCCTGTTGCAATATATAATTTAAATTGTGCATGTAACATTTTATGTAAGTAACATCTAAATTCTTGATAGAGGTGATGGTTGCACAATAGACTATAAACCACTGAATTGTACACTTTAAATGGATGAATTGTATAGTATGTCAGTTACATTCCAAGCTGATTTAAGAAATTCTAGATAGAGCAAGGCTTTTGTTTATATTCTCAAAAAAGGAAAAAAAGCCTTTCTCACTCAAAGTGGTAAATAATAAACAATGACAAATTAAAACGCAGGAGTGTGTACAATTAAATAATATTAACGTCTTGATAACTGCTATTATAAGAGCAATGGGAAATTTGCTCAACTCCCACTTCAAATTTGAAATTGTGGATAAGAAAATTTTCAATAAATGGTATTTGGAGGAAAGCATTAGCTCTATGCCATCCCACATACCAAAAAAATTTCTAAATGGAGTTAAAAGTAAATTAAGATCATGAAATTAGACAATAAATATCTGATTCTAGGTTTGGAAAAGCCTTTCTAAAAATAAAAATCATGGAAGAAATCACAAAAGAAAAGTTGGTAGATCTGACTGAGAATCAATACTTGTGTAGGCTAAGATAAAGTTAAAATCGAAAGATGAACTACAAAAATATATTTGCAATATATGTCAAATGGTTAATTTCTTGATATGTAAAGGTCTTTTAAAAATCAATGGGAAAAAATAACATTTCAAAAGAAAAATGAGCAAAGGCCATGAACAGAAAAAAATCACACAAAAATACAAATTGCTGGTAAACATATGAACATAGATTTCAACCTCATTAAAAGTCAAAGAATGCAAATGAAAGCAAGACAACATTAACAGAGATTTCAATTAATAGATACTTAAAAGCATGAGAATTCATAGTATTAGCTGAAATGTGAAGCACAGGCACTCTAATGCAATGCTTGTGGTAGTTCTTTGAAGTGATTTTACTTTTTATTACCTCCTAAGTAATTATATTATATTGTATTCAACTTAGTAGCATGATTTCTTACTTTTCTGGTTTTAAGTCTCTATAGATTATTCCCAGGCTATGTAGATGGTCTAAAGCAAGTGCAAGTTCAGCCAAGTAGAATTTGACATCTTCTTCTGTGAACATCACCTAAAATAAAATAATTTTTGTCTTTATTTTCTTTTTTGTTTGTGATTTTTATTTAAAGTTCTATCCTAGAGTTTAAATATTCAACAAATTATAAATGTGCTAATTACCTGTAGTTTTACCCACAATTTACTTACGAAAGCAATTTGCAAAAATGATTGAAATCAGTCAACTAATCACTTAGTAAGTGCTAAATAAGCACTTTGGAGGAAATAGTTTTGCATTTTGTTAAGTAATAACTATATCCAGATTATATCATTGTTGCCACACCACAGTAACATCTTAGAAATGAAAAGTTATCTTTAAAATGCACACTGAATTTCTACTAATAATTGTTTAAGGATATCTTGTTGCTGTATTACTGCTTTTGAAAAACTGTAACTGAAAGAATCAGGACAAAAACCAGACAGTCTATCAGTTAAAGTTCTACTTTGAAAACATGCAAAAAGTAGGAAAAGGAATCTTCGGCTCTGGTTCTTCAATGTAAGATTCTTGTGCCACTAGAGAAAATATGATAAGTGTAATATTGAAATTTAGCAAAGGTTTAGTTGAAATAGGATTCATATATTAAAATAAGAGATTAATTACATACCTCTTTGGATAAGCGTGTAAACAAATCTCCTCCCCTGAGAAAATCCAAAATAAGATACAACTTCCCTTCAGTCTGAAAAGCTGAATGAAGAAATGAAAATTTCCATTTAATGCACCATAGTTTATTTTTTTAGGCTACATTAGGTCAAGTCATTCACAAAGGAATTTTATTTTTAAGAAAATTAATGGTTATATCATAGATATAAACTTAAAAATTTTTTAGATTGAAGAGTAGTTGACATATAATACTATTTTAGTTTCAGGTGTACAACATAGTGATTTGACAATTATATACACTATGAAATGTTCACCATGATAAGGGTAGTTACCAAAGTTATCACAATATTACTGACTATATTCCTTTTGCTACACTTTTTATCCCTGTGACTTACTTGTTTTATAATGGAAGTTCCTACTCCTTTATCCCCTTCACCTACTCCACCCACCTTCCCATCCCCTTTCCCTACGGCAACCGCCAGTTTGTTCTCTGTATTGATGAGTATATTTCTGGTTTGTCTTGTTTACTAGATTCCACATATATGTGAAATCATATGGTATTTGGCTTTCTCTGTCTGACTTACTCAGCATAATACCCTCTAGGTCCATTCATGTTGTCATGAATGGCAAATTTCATTCTTTTTAATGGCTGAGTAACATTCCACTGTGCATATGTACCATATCTTCTTCATCCATTCATCTATTGATGGACACTTAGGTTGCTTCCACATCTTGGCTATTATAAATAATGCTGCAATAAATAGATTTTTATTTAGAAGATAATTACTGATTTCTCTTAGTTTCCATGTGGAAATGTTAAATGCAATCTTTCTTATTATAGAACCACTAGAACATTTGTTAGATTTTATTCAGGCAATAGTCTCTCAGGAATACAATAGTTCTAAAATATGTGACCAAGAAGAAAAATTCCCAACAGGAAAAGACTTAATTAACCATGAAGCAAAATAGAAGAACCATGTCACTAACTAGAGAAAAAAATGTGGGCTTGTTAGCTTTAATTACATATAATAAGAATCACTATATCTTTACCCACTGAGAAAAAGCAAATATGCCTTTGGGGAAAGGAAAGGTGGTAAAAGTTTCAGGGCACTGACATTAGGGATCTTTCTTGCTTTTAAGCTGGGCTAACATGTATGGACTATAAAATGTTGATACATTATTATTATCTACTATATACTAAAAAAAATGATTATTACTACCTGTTCCTATGGCTACCAATCAGAAATTGTAATGTTTAAAAGAAACACAAGCTAAGCACAATAAAAGCTTCTGAAGTTTGTCTAAGAAGTAGTGGCTTAATTTCCATGACTTTACTTCTGTGTATCTGTTGAACACATATAAATATATGCAAATAAATATTTATATACATTAGTATACTTGAATGCATTCAGGGAATGGGGGATGAGGTGAGAAGTGGTTCATAACTTACCATAATGCAACTTGACAATAAAAGGATGGTTAACTTCTACCAAGATATCACGCTCCATTTTTGTCCGAACACGGTCTCGAACTATAAAATATTGCACATATGGCTACATTGCAATAGCTTTCAGAGACAATTTTTAAAGCAAAATCTCTTAGGTGTCTACTTTAAATAAAATTTTTCTTATATGTGTAAAAAGTGAATTCACATTTTTATACATATAAATAAAACAATTTATAACTCTGATTTCCAAAGTTAAGAACTATGTTTTTATTAAATTATATAACCAGTTGAAATTGTATATATTGATAAAATCTGTGCTTTAATTAAAAAAAGACAGCATATTAGATTTTGGCTTCATCATCAAATTTACAAGTATTTTAATCAAAATTATGAAAAATGGCCAAAAAAGAGCAACTTTTTAAAAACAAGGCTTCCCAATGAGATATTAAAACACACAAAAACTAGAATTTCAGTACCCCTACCGACCCTACCAATTCAATTCAACATTCATTAAGCACCTATAAAATGTGGCAAACATGATGAAGAATGGAAATACCCAAAAAGGTCTATTTTGAGGGAGAGAAGAGGGAGAGGAGATACCTGTGGTGCAGCTGAAAACAAAGGTTTTTTGGAGCTAGAAAGATGGGGATTCAGATGTGTGTAATCTTGAGCAAATTACTTATTTAAACTCTCTAAGCCTCAGTTACTTCTCATCTATAAAATGGGGATAACACCATGGTACCTTTGGGGGCTGTGTGACCATTTGAGGTAAGATTTGGATATCTCAGAGCCTGGCATATAAGAAATATTCAATTAAATGGTAGGTTTAACACTATGAATATGATGAAGGGATGAAATGATTTACTACCAGCAATAAAAGTATAGGGATTCAGAGAAGGGAAAGATTAGTTTTACTTGCTTAGGAAGGCTAGAAGGAAGAGGTGAAGCTAGGGACTTTGAGAGTGGAATTTAGATGGGTGGGCAGGATTGGACCTAGAGAAGAGAAGTCCAGATATTGAGGACCAGTGCAAGCAAGGACACGGAGGCATGCATGACAAACAAGAAGGAACCAAATCAGTGTGGCAACTTGGGAGGTATAAAGTACAGAGGATCCAGATTCTTGGCAATGTGGAATGCCAGTACATATTTACATATGACCCATAAGCAAAGCTCTCTTTTACCAACCAAAAATTTTCTGAGCAAATTCTATGAGCCAGGCACTGAGAGACATAAGCACAAATAAAATAATTTTCAAGAAGATCACAATCTGGTAGGGATGACAGACAAGTAAATAAATGATTAGAATACATTCTGATAAGTACTCTTGTGTTGGTAACTCAATGGATATAAGAGGTGAAAATGGTTATTCATTGAAGTTTAAATATTTTTCTGTTGTATAATAAGGATAAATCATAAATGACTCTTATTTTTCAAGCCAGAGTGACTAAATGGTTGTGGCAAAGATTAAACAGAAAGAATGGAAAAGAGTCTTTTGTTGGGGGAGGTGGGGACAAAGAGGAAGAGGAGTTGGTTTTCTTTTCAATTAAACGTGACCACAGACATTTAAAAGGCAGAAATAAGATCCCTGGGAAAAATAAAGAAGCAAAAAAAAAAAAAAATCTTATGTTTCCCACTCTACCAGCTTTCTACCCACAACTAGGAGGTTTTGGTGTCAATGACTGAAAACAGGCAAACCAAGAATAGGAATTGATTGCTCCTGATGTCTATCCAGCTATGTGTTTAAATGACTTCTCCAGCTGGTGTATCAAATTCAGTATAAATCTCTGATTTCACTATCTTGTCCTATCACTACAACTCTGGTGTCTTATATTCAACAGGCCCTTTCTATTATTTATGTGAATGAGGTTCATCACCTAGGCCTGTTGATAATCCTGTTCCAGTCTAACTCAAATCTACCCTTTTTCCACTGCTACCCACACAATCTTGGGTTAGGTTCTTATTACCTTGAAGCTGGATTCCAAATTATTACCTCTTTCAATAATTATACAAAGCTTATAAAGCTTATCATTTAAAAATCACTTCTCTGCTCAGTAAGCAGCAAAAATATCCATCAGTATATCCATCTTCTGTTATTCTATCACAATGAAAAGAACAATTATTTGAGAGTCAACAGCTTTAGTTTTTAGTGGCCATGTTAACAGCTAGATGAGTTACCTTGGTCAAATCCTTTCACTGCTCAGGGACTTCCTGCTTTCTTTTCTATAAAATGAAAGGCTAGAACAAGATGATTTTCTTTCTCTTCTGATTCTCTTGTGTGATGGTTTCCTTATACATAACACTGGTGAGACCTCATTTAGTTGAAAATGAGCAGTGACATTCATTTACTAAAGAATTCCTTCATTTTGTCTGAGCTAGGACTGTGTATTAATTCTAGCTTAGTTTCTTTTACTTCAGTAAAGACAGAGTGATGAATATAAATTATCTTACATCAGGTATTTTGATTAGGATATACTGGTTCAGAAGAAGGCATGTTTTATATTGGTTAAACTCTAAACCTTAAAATAGAATTTGTTAATACTGATGCATGTTGGGAAAGCAACTACATTCCTCTGAAATAATTTTTCTTACACAGTAGTTACTAGCTTTTAAACCCTCCTTGGCTTGGACATGAGTGAACAAGAAGAAATGCTGTTTGTTTCTAGGATTATGTGTTAAGAAACTGTTTTAAGCAATGGCTTACAAAACCTTTTAGGTCCATAGACTACTTACTGTATTAGGACAAAAGTTCCTGTAAATTCAACCTAATGCTATTGATTTCTATTTGACCCCATTTGTTGTATTAATAGGAACTTTAAAATGGAAAGAGACTTCTGGTTAAACATGGATGCTTTACTTTGTATTGTTTTCCAAAAACCCACTGAAATTACAATAATGGAAAAATTATGCATAAACTCACAAGGACAAAGAATAGGAGAAGAAGCAATAGCAAAAGATGAGTAAGTGGTAACTCACACAGCAAATTGGAGAAAGCTAAAATCTAAGCCTAAGGGAAAGAAGCCAGTGAGAAATAAGCAAATTCTTACCATAGAATCCTTTGTGATTAGTTTTTTTAGTATCTCATTGTTAAACAAGGAAAAGATAGCAAAGGATCCCCAGACATTTTGAAGAAAGGCTCTAAACATGAAAAACAGCTACTGAAGTAAACAGAAAAAAAAGGAATAATGGGAAACAGAGACAATATAAATAATAAAATAAAACAAAAATCAGCTTTGTAATTTATATCCACCAAGAGAACAATGAACACATGGCAACTGTGAAACCGAGAAGCTTTAAGAGGTATAAAGGGGAAGGAACCAGTGTCTTCAACAAATTTAACTACAAAATAAAAAAGAACTAGAGATTGAGGTCCTAGATTAAAAGACTTAAAGAGATACCAACTAAATGCAAAATATAGACGCTATATGGATCCCAATTCAAACAAACTGCAAAAAGAAAAATGAATTTTAACAACAGAAACAACTAGAAATTTGAACACTGATGGAATATTTGTATAGTAAGTTTTATAGGTATAATGACAGTTGTATTATTTAAAAGTCTTTATCATTTAGAGATAAATATTAAAATACTTATGTTAGAAATTATACAGTATCTAGGATTTCCTTCAAAATACCCAAAGAGGGGAAGCAGGAAAACGCAGATACAGACTGATCATGAGTTAAGAAAGGGGTAAGCACAGAGAAGGGCATATACGACTTCTCTGTATTCTTCTGTTTCTTTCTTTAAATGTTTAATACTTTTCTGTAATAACAGGATTCAAAAAATGGGACAGAAAACAAGGAAAATCTAGGAAAATGATTTTGATAATGCTAGAAACAAAAATGATCAAAAGAAGGGTTGGAATATAGTTGATACGATTTCCTAGAAAATGTAAAGTGGGAGGGAGAAAAATAAAAATTCATGAATGATCCAGGAGGTCCAACGTATCCAAAGAGCTGTACTTACAAAATGGGAAGAAATGATAAAATGCTTTCCCAAAACTGAAGAAATGAGTTTCTAGATTCAAAGAGACCACACCATGTCTGGCATGATTAATTAAAAAAACCCAAACTAAAGAAATACCACTATACAAATTTCAGAACACCAGAGACAAAGAATAGACTAATCCTAAAGACTTCCGAAGACAAAAAGCAGTTTACATACAAAGGACTGGGAATCAGAATGGTAATAAACTTCATAATTGCAACACAGGATACTGGAAGACAATAGAAACAATGCCTTCAGTATCTGAGGAAAAATTCTTTCTGACGTAGAAGTTTATGTCCAGCCAAATTATAAATTAAGTGAGGGGGTAGAACAAAGGTACTTTTAGACATGCAAGGTCACAAAAAATTTACCATCCATTCATTTTTTCTGAGTCACCTACTAGAAGACATGTTCCACCAAAACTGAGAAAAAGGTTAAGAATTTAGGAAAGGAGATATTTAATATAGCAAAGATGTGAGGGAAATGTGACTCCAGTACACTATTTAGCTTAGCTCAGAATAATTTTTATGAAGCTGTAATAATGAAAACATTACTGTGAGGACATGAAAAGGGAAATTGTGTGTGGGTGGTAGTATAAGAGAACTAAAGACTTAATCCCCCACCTTAGGAAGTCAATAGATTATGTCTCCAAATGAAAATAATCAAAGAATTGCAAGGTAAGAGTACTGAATGTGGAGGTAAATGGCATAAGCAGCAGCTAAAGAAACAAAAAAGCCATTGTCTCTGGGGGTCAAGAGTTGGGATAGAGAGGAGGGTGGGGTAAAGCATTGATATTTTATATGACTCCATACACATATTACTTTGATAAAAATAAAAATTAAATTTAAGAACACATTAGGTATTATCCAGCAGCCTACAATCTAATGTCAAATATTTTCACTTTTCTGTGTTCTCTTCCATAGCTTATATCTATATAATTTTACATATTTGTGGTAGCCAAATTCATTATAATTGTTCACTTACATGTTTCATTAAGTTCATTTTTTGTGATTTTATTTGAAATATTTCATTAAATAATATTCTATGAAATAGCATACCATACCATAATTTTCTAAACATTCCTCTATTTTTTTATATTTATATGATTTCTAAAAATTTTTGATTTTGTAAATAATGTTGCAATGGTAATTTTCAAGTGCATGAACTTCTTTGGGATTTCCACAATTTAATTTAGTAGCAATAATGGCTCTTTGTACCTATTGCAAAACAGCTTTCTAATTTATTTTGCCATCATATGAAATGAAAACTCAGTATTTGATATGCATTTCTTTATTAGCAAAATGGAACATTTTCCCAAAGATTATTTATTTTATCCCCTTGCATAAAATTTTTTCTGAAATCCTCTGGGTGGTGGTTATAATGCTATTTCTCAGAACTCCTTAATCATTTCTTTCACATTTATTTGTTGGAATTCTATAGGGAAGAGCTTTCCCTTGGTCCTCATTAATTAATTAATGGAATTAACTCATGGGTTTTTATCTTATTCGGTGGGTTATAATCTATCACTACCATTAATTACTGCAGTGTTCAAAATGTCCTAGATTTGGCGAGTAGGAGCCCTTTGACCAATTCCTTATATTAGTATTTTGTAATACTTGGGGCTAATAATTTCCTGACTTCCTATTTACACTATTTTTTATTGTATAAAAGGCTATGATTTTTGTATTTTCCATTTGTTAGTAATTTGTAATTTGCTCAGTATCTCTTCACAATTTTCCCTTATGTGTTGAGTTGTAAAATTCAGTTAGATTGTTGTTTATTATGGTATAGGGTTTAAGAGAGGACTCTAACTTTTTCCAGGTTACTCAGGAGTATTTCAAACAAAATTTATGAAATCATTATTTAATCTCTCATTGTTCTGTATACCTTTGTCATACAGCACAGCAAGTACTCACATTTTTGTTAAAAATATCTTACAGTTTAATATATTCTTTTGTACTGTTTTGTTCCACTGATTTGTATGCCTGAATTATTCCCCCCATTAACACACTGAATTATTACTGACTTAAATAAGCCTGAAGCCCGGTAGAGCTTCTTCCTTTCTCATTTTTCTTCTTTTTTAGAATACGCTTTGAGGTATATGTTTTTCAAATGAAATTTTGAATATTTCAAGGAAAGTGCAAGTGGAATCTTGAGGATACAGAGCTAATTGGATGGCTAAGAAATACTGAGATTCTTAACAACAGTAGCTTTCTATGAGAGGGATTGGTCATTTATATCCTTTCCTGGTATCTTTAGGTTTCTCAGAATTTCAAAGTTCCCTTTACATACATTATCATAACACAAATCCTGTTAAATACCTGAAAACTACTTTTGTTGTTTTTGTGAATCAACTCTCTAAGTTTCATAAAAAGAAAATTATAAAAGCAATGATATAAAACAGGGTTCTGAGGATATAAATTTAATTCCCTGGTCCTCGTAAGAATCAAGTATCTAGTAGTAGAGACTAGAGAGGAGAGAAAATCCATTCAGGACGGGAGTAAAAGAACAGAAGTAAAGGAGAGTGTTTTTAGAGGCAGGTGAAATTTCTTGAAATGATGGTAATATCCAGGATGTGTGACCAATTGGGAAGAATAACATCAGAAAAATAAATGATCATCACAAATATTTCCAGAACATTTTAAAAGTTTAGAAATTACAGGTAAACTGAAGTGGAAAAAATGACGTTAGGAATCATTACATAAAAACAACCAGAGGTTTTGTAGTAAAATAACTGATATTACTAAATAAAAGGAAGCTTTAAGTATTTTAAAAATCTATGTACAATTTCTTCTAAATGGCTGTTTACCTATAAGAGCCAAATCCTACATTAGATTTTTCAAAATCAGAGGCTTAGAATAAAAGCTTACTTGCAGACCAGATATTAATATGATAAAGTCCTTAGAATAAAAGCTATTTTGCATCCAATAAATCACTAAGTTTTCAAAACCTAAAAATTATATTAATACTTACATAAGCCTGAGATGAATTTATAATACCTCTTCTTTTACAATATGGCAACTCCTTGTGTCACTAATCATATGATTCCTAGCCCAGTAGGAAAAAGTCACTAAAATAAAGTCTAAATTTATAGAGGGTAACAGGAATAGATTCAGAATATAAGTAACTGGCCTAGGAGTTACATGAGATCTATTGAGACCTTTCAGTTTGTTTATACTACACGAACATTACAAATAGTAACAGCACTTACCTTTCAGTGTGGCCTTCTTCAATACTTTCATGGCATAAAGCTGTCTAGCATCAGAGCCTGAGATTTTTTTGACTAAGAAAACCTGTATTTAAATAAGAGAAAATAAGTCACTATACCATTGTTAAAACAACACCCCTACTCTACAACAGTTTATTATTAAAGAGTCTGATACATTGTACATCAACTATTTTCCTTAAAAATGTAGTAATTATAAATGTGAGTAGTAAACAATGGTTATAACTTGGGGTGTCAATACTTATAAGTGAATATATTTTTTTCTTTCTTTTTGTTGTTTGCCAATTCCAGAAAAAAAAAAGCATGTCACATAAGACAGAAAAAAAATCTTTAAACAATATAGCAATTAGATAAAAGTCGAACATGTTGAAAGTTTAAGGCAGGTAGGGGCTGCTCTGGTTTTCATAAAACAAAAATTTTTCTGATTCCATAAAAGCTGTTATACAGAACTTCCCTTTAAACACACTTTTCTGTTGATACAATTATTCATTGATGATTGGTCTTTTCTATATAAGAAAATTACACATAAATTTCTTTCTGTTGAGCAGAGCAGTTTAAAACACTTACTCTAAAGAAGCTTATTTACAAAAATTTAATGTGACTTAAGTCAGAATTCCACCTCCCCACCTTTTAAAAATCAAATTATCGTAGTGATTCTATAGTATCTTACTACACTGATGGACAGTGACTGTAATGGGGTATGTGGTGGGGACTTCACGAGGGGAGTCTAGTAACCATAATGTTGCTCATGTAATTGTATATTAATGATACCAAAAGAAATAAAAAATAAAAAAATGTTAAAATTAACTTAAAAAATCAAATTACCACATATATCTAAATATGAAGAATAGTTTTCACATGTTATTGAGCAGCTTGATTTTCCAAATTATTTTTAGCTACTTTCAAAGTATAAAGTGGAATTTACACAAAATAAACCCTGCTCTAAATAATTGTCATCCTGTAACATTGCTAATACAAAACTATCAACAAATCCCTTCTACTCATTTTGACCATTAGTTTCATGATCTTTTCCATTAAACCTTTAAACCTTTACTAAATGGACCTGAACTTGAACTCTTTTTTGTCCTACCCATTCTCCTCGCAGTGTTATTGAGCTGCCATGGGTAGGAAGAAGAGATGTTATTACCTTCAAGAATTACATTCAAAACTTTAGGGTCAGCTCTTAATTATCTGCATTAGCATGGCAGGCTATTAGCACAAAATAAAAAAATGATTCATTCAACGGATTCCAGGGGCAAGGCAGAGTTTCTCACTTTGAGACATTGTGCCAAAGGCAATGGACAATGACCTCAAGTTAAGTGAAGAGCACCACAACTTGCACAGACACCCCGATGTAGGGTGTGTTCCTCTCCCCACATCACTGCCTCTCATTCCCCTTCACCATGCCCCACCCTTTAGTTCCTTTCAGCCAGTAAGCAGTGAGCCAACCTAGGGAGAGAAAAGCATTCTTAATCAGGGTGGTTTCTGAGGTAGAATAATGTTCAAATGTTAAAGGTAGAGATAATATTTTTTAACAGAAATAAATTGTAATTAGGTGGAGATGATTAGGATTTATCTGATATTTATTCATTCTTAAGATTCCCTAGTCAAGCTTCTTTGTGCCATTCTACAAGAAAAATTCTTGTGGATTCCAAACTTTCTTCATCCTTCTTTAAAAGTATCTTCTTAACACTTCTCAGTTTGCAGAAGACCTTCACACGCATTTATAATACATCATCACGGTAATTTGGGGAGGCAGGCCTACTAAGCAATGCTTATTTATAGCTGCTCAAGCTAGGGCTTAAAGCAGTTCATTTGCCTAGTGTCATAGTGGAGGTACTGGGACAAGAACCAGGCTAGCTACCTAGTTCTGTCCTCCTGCTCAGGGCACTCTTAATCTCTCCCCTCTGGCCAGTCACCAGTCAAGTATAACAGCAGCAGCAGTCCCAAATGCCATGGGCTCTTCCCTCACCAGCGCATTTCTGACCTTTCAAACTCCCCCATGTGAAGCTATTCTAAGCTGACAGGTCATTCCTGTTTCCTTGGATTAGACTGGCTTTTTAGGATGACTAAGAAAGGAGACGCCCTATTTTTAATGTTTGCTATGTATAGTAAGGTATTTAAGTTACTTTTAAAGAAATAAAGGTAGATGTATGCTAACTCCCAGAAACTTATACTGAATTCCCTGAAAATCTAATGTAGAAAAATCCATCTACTTGCATGACAATACAATTTCACAGCAGATATTATGTACTTGGCCTTATATCATTCAATTCTCACTACTACTCTATGAAGTCAGGACTATTATTTTACTCATTAATTCTTCCTAGAATTATATGCTACGTACTGTGCTACCAGTTCAATGCTGAGACACTGTATGAGGTGTGGCCCCTGCACTCATGGAACATACAGTCTAGTGGAGGAGACTACAATAAACAATTATACAAATAAAAAACTGCCATTATGGTAGTACTGTAAAGATGAGGTATATAATGTTCTGAGAGGGCAAAATAGAGGAATATAACCTAGTAGGATGGCAGGGAAGACTTCTTTCAGATCACAAACATGAGAGGAGCTTAACCAGATGAGGAAGGGGTGGGAGTGGGGCAGAATGTTTAAGGCAGAGGAAGCACCATGTGCAAAGGATGGAGCCGGGTTCTTAAGGACTGAAAAAGAAGGCAAATGTAGCCAAAACACAGGCAGTAAAAACCATATAAAGTGATGCTGAGGTAGCTAGGGACTCCTCAGCCATCTGAAGAATTTGCCTTTACCCTAAAAGTAAAGAGAGCCTACTGAAGGGTTAAGGGGGTGGAGTATAAGATTAGCTAGTGTTGGATGTCATGTAAATAATGGCTGGAGGCAAGAATAAATTTGGGAAGCCCCAAATTGGAGCCTCCTTCAATAGACCAGGGAGAAATGAAATGGTGGTGGCACATTTACGGAATGGCAGCTGAGGAGAGGTTAGGCATCATTTGAGAAGTCTTTACTAAATCAGCAGAGGTTGCTGACAGATCAGACTGGTGGGGGTGTGGGAGAGGGAAAGGTGGGGACTAGAACGATATGTCAAGAATGCCTCCCATGTTTCTGGTTTGCTTAACTGGAAGCCATTCATAGATATAAAAATGAAAAAGGACAGGCTTGGGTTTAAGGGAAAATAATGAGTTTGGTCTTAGACGTGTTGAGTTTAAACTGCCTTTGAGACGTGTGAAGAGAAAAAAATATGCAGCTGTACATAGAGTTCAGAGCTTGGAGGCGTGATCTAGATTGCAGATATAGATCTGTTACTTCAGCTGTGTGTGGGTTATAATTAAGATAGTGGGCATAGAGAAAATAATTGGTAGGGGTTATAGAGTGAGGAGAAGGCAGTTTAGGATGGAACCTGAGGGAATTTCAATATTTAATGACTGGCTATTAGAAAAAAATGGGGCTCCAAGAGGTTAAGTAACTTGCTCAAGCACACATAGCAAGTAAGCAGGGTGAAAAAAATAAAATTCAAGTCTTGATGACCTAGAGCCCAAACTTGCAACGATTATGCTCTGCTGCCTACTTAATCTGTATTTGGATTTAAAACATCACTTTGGGCTTGAAAGAGGTTAACAGCTTTAACAAATTACCTATGCTAGCCAAGAATTGCTACATAGTCTCATTAAAATACAGAAGAGAGCTAAACTGGTGTTTTGAAGCTTGCAAAGCATGATTTTTCAAATGTTTCTCCCAGAAAGGTGGTTAAGGAAGCACTGCAATATAAAAGTTGAATGTAATCTTGGAATTTTCCTCTTGCTCAGAAATAGACCAGATAGATCAAGTAGTAGTAATTATAATGCAGTACTTCTCAAAATGGAGTACAGGAAGTACTCTTGAAGTGTGCAGCAGGGGGACAAGGAACATCTGAGGAAAAATGATAAAGATGTTGCATCTTCTGGAGCAATTTTGGTTAGTGGTTTCAGGAAATATTTTTGATATTAAGAACAAACACAGATACTGATGAATAGAATGCAACCTTTGTATTCATTTTAAAGCCATGCTGTAAGTCCCCCAATTTCATTCTTGCGTGGTAATCCCCCATCCCAGTTCCTTGGGAGTACCCATTTACTTTCTGCTGGTATTAGGGATACTCTTGAGCAAAGGTTGAGATGCCCTGTTATAATGTACTGCAAGATTACCTCCCAATTCTACATGAGGACTCAAAAAGAGGCTGGAGTATCAAGGGAATATTTTGTGATTTTTAATCATTTAATAAATGTAATTAGAGAGGTCATATGGTCTTGAAGATGAAGTGAATACTGCCAATTCATGAATATTTCCTATGTACTTCTGAATGACCTTATTCACTTTCCCACATTTACTGATAGTGAAAAATGTAAAAACAGAAAATACTGCTTGTAGGAAGATCAGTAGTATATCATAAAATATTTCTGTTCCCTGTCTGTATAAAATACACATGAATTCCAAAAAACAACTTTTTAAAAATCACATACTTGTGACTTACCTTTCCAAATGATCCCTGACCTAATACTTTTAGAAGCTCAAATTGGGAAGGATCTGCCTTTTCATGTCCTTCCTTTACATGATGTGTGATTGCAATTTCTTTGATACTGCCTTCTTCCTGTTAATGCACATGTAAGGGGAGAAAATAAAGTTAGAGCTACTTTCTCAGGCCATAACACTAAGAAATAAAAATTTAGCATATCTTAGTAGAATTAACATACAGGAACCACCTTTGTGACCCACTGAGTGAACAGAAAACACATGCCAAGCAAATATACTTTTAAGTTAAATGTCATACACAGGTGTAATACCAGCCTACTACATAGGCCAATTTAATCTCTATGTAACATTAGCATAGAGAATTTCCAAATCTTCATTCTTCCTATTGGAGATAACTAGAATAACAGTTTCACGGGGTGAGTGTATAAAGAAGTCTGAAAACAGACCAGAGTAATCTGCTGTGCTCTGATGTGGTTGTATAACACAGAACCAATGCTATACACAAAAAACCCTTTTTATTGTGGAAAAGGGTTGAAAAGTATTTCAGGGGTAAATGTGGAGATTTCTACCTCAGCAAAGCCACTTGAATTAGTATGCTAAAGTTTATTCTGTTGAAATATCTAGGTTACTTTCTATTTCTAGGACTTCTTGTGATCAGAGAGGAAAGAAAGGAATAACTGTAAAACACAAAATCAAGAGATTAACATTTGGATGAGAGAATTAGACACAGAAAAAAGTGACTACTCTGCATGATGGAACAGTAGATGTTATGAGGGTTAAGAGAAGGATTTTTAAAGACAGTGGATGCTTCACTGTCTTTGAGGGAAGGTGTCAGAAGAGAGAGAAAGGTTGAAATATATAAGCATACAGAATTTCAATTACTTATTCACCCCGAGATCAGCAGGTTAAGTACATCTTAATCAAGGCATGTACTATATGTTACAGCCAAATCAACCACCGTAAAACAAAACCCAATGAAACCAGAAACATAAACATGCCAGAGACTACCTTTCCTTTTTTTCAACCTATGTTATTTTTTTTCTGGTGCAAAGTACTATTAGTAGAATCTATGTTATAGAAACACAAATAATTCATTATTTTTATTACTATTGTGTTCCATAAAAATGTTTGAGCTCAATTAACATTTTCTGAGATACAGAAGATGGGCAATAGAGGGAATTAAAAAGGCTTCTCAAAAGGATATACCAGCGTATCCTAATGTGGTAGCTTTTGAAAATGAGTAGAACAGGAAAAAAAACTCCTGTAAGAGGACAAAAAGGGAATCCAGGCCCACTATTTTACTCTGTAAGACAGAAGCTATAGTTTCTACATTGTCCTACTACTTAGGAAGCTTAATTATTCTGCACTCTCTTGGAACTTTGGCAACAAAAAAACAATTCCCTAAAATTGTTTAGTCCTTTATTTTGTAGTTTCACATGCATTATCTCCTTTAATTCTCACAACAGTCCTGTGCAGTAAGCATTAGGGTAGAATCCCCCATTAGCTGACTCTGAGATTCTACCCCCTTCCTGGGAACCCCTTCTCTCCAAATGAGACCAACGTCCAGGGGCTTGAGCTTGACAGCTGTTTGTAGCTACGTTAGGAAAGGCAGGAAGCAAATTAGCAAATTCTTTAAAAAAAAAAAATTTCAAAGAACAATGTGTATGTGGGATTAAGTAAGATTTAATCTGGTAAATATTTATTAAGCACCTACCATGTATCAAGCTTGGGTTAGATGCTTTCTTATGTTTTATCTTATGTTTATGCTTCATGACAAATCTTTGACTGTATACCAATGTCAGAGAGGCTGATGATAACCAAAATGGAATATACTCAGAGCAAGTAAAAACATTTCAGAATTACTTACAGACTTCCCCATTCACCACTAGAAATTTGGCAGATATTTTAGAGGTGATAATAGTTTGAATAATCTACTGTCTGAAGTTTAAAGAGATTAAGTAAAGATCACAAGCCAGTAACTGGCAGACTTAGGGCTCACTCAATTCCAGGTCTCCTGACTTCTAAAAGAAGGCTCTTAGCATTATACCACACTGAGACTGTCAGAGGCTCTTGGTGGTTCCCTATCCAAGACAGGAACATACAGACTTATTCTCCTGGTCCTTGTAACTGGTGTGTATCTCTTGGGTCATTTAGCTAATTGATTAGAGAAGTAGTCTCTCAACTTTTGGTAGCACATCCTTATCAGCAAAAAAGAAAAAAATTAGCATATACTCAATATTTGTATATTTATTGGCTTATGAATTAAATACACTTTTTGTATTACTAAATTATATACATTATACATGGAAATGCAACTGTAAAGAAGTCAGTTCTCTTTTTTCTGTACCCTGAAAGTGCTGTCAACATCACACTCTGAAGACTAGTAGATTACAGACTTGAATTGATGAAGCCAAATTCATGGGTTAGATTCTAGCATGTAGCAGTTCAAGAGCCTAACTGGAATCTAACAGGCCACTTATGCCTTTAAATTACAAGGCTATGAAGAACTATACTCTGTAATATCCCCTATGTTTCACTACTTTTCTTTCTTGGGCAAGTGGGATATGTATGATTTTTAGGATGCAGTATTTTTTCATCTTGTATTTCATAGCAAATACCTACTATAATTGTCTGTCACAAAGATGCAACACAGGCAAGGAAGGATCACTGAATTACAAATGTTTTGCATTTTGTAGCAGACATAAAGAATCAAGCCTTACTCTCACAGTATGAGCTACGATCTGGCCATGGATCTTAAAATAAATAGCAGTTAGTATTCAAGAAATATTTCATTTTGCTGTGTACCCTACCTTCCCTTTCTTGTCAAACAAGTCACTAAAAAATGGAGTCTCCCTTAGACCTCTTCATTCAACAGACATATACTCAAACACATATCAAGCGTGGTACTGGGAGTAACTTTCAGTCTTTCTATTTCCAATAGCAACATCCAGGTACAATCCTTGGCTACCTACCTCTCCTTTAGAAAACAAACTTGTTGCATTACTCATAATGCCCTTTGCTGCCACTGTAACTCCAATTCATCTTCCTGACAAATTCATTTTCCGAAAGTAGACCCTCCAGTCGTATGACCAGAGTGCTCAAAAACTCCTCCAAGTTTTCCAAAATTAAATGCACTGCTTTACCTTGGCATTTGAGACCCTTTACAATATGGACTCAGCCTCCTTTTCCAGTATTGTCTCCCAACATTTCCTTATATGTAACCCTTTGTCAGCCTGGGTTATTTTCTGTTTCCTAAATTTTTTATTTTTAAAATCAAAGTAATACATGCTCATAGGTTACAAATCAAATAGTGAAAGAATAGCTTATGATGAAAATCAAGTCTCTTCTCGCCTCCATACCTAGGCTTTAAAAAAATCTGTTCTTTCTGCACTTATTTCAATAATTTCTTAGTTCATTAAGATAATGCCTACAGATTTAAAAACAAGAAAGATGAGGGACTCGCTTATGTTATGCTCCTTTCCATCATCTTCCTCCCCACTGTTTGATGATTATATCACTTTTACATAAGCCTCTTGTCTTTTCATTTGTTTTGGATAGAATCCTAACTCCTCACTTCATAAAATGAGGCTAATACTGCCCATACATTCTCTCTCTCAAACTTTCCCCACCTAAAGGTAAATGTATTTTTATATTTTTATTAAGAAAACCAACATTCTCTCCTGTAACTACAACCAAATCCTTCAAGCTCCCTCCACAGCCTGATTTTAAAAGGTGAAAGCCTATACAACAGCATCTACGTTTTCACAACAATATACTGTTCCAAACACAGGCTACAAAGTACATTAAATTTCCTCTTATATGGGTTCATAACATGACTTCCAGGAAAATCCAAGGGGACTTGAAAAAAAAAACATCAAATGCTTAAATTCATGATACATTTCATTTGAGTTTGATTTGGACCATGAATTTCTCGTACAGTTTTCTACTTTTCCTGTTTCTAATAGCCCTCCATTACTCTTGGGGGGGCAGAGAGGTTAATTTGACCATTGGACTTAATCTTTTCTTAGCCCTTAACCACAATTTCCATTCTTCTGAGAATGCTCTTTCACCATCCCATCAGGACTGGCTGTTCTGCAGGCCTTATTATGCAACTATTATATCACAATAGCTCTTCAGTGCTTTCCTGCTTGAATCCACTATTTTCAGTTTCCCATGTCTTTCTCTTTCTTAGATAAGTCCCTTGTAACTTCCTAAGAAAGGTGATGTGGAAGAAAACTTTCTGAACCTCATACATCTGAAAATATGTTTATTTTGCCTTCACATTTGTATAGCTTGGCTTGGTACCAAATTCTAGAAAAAAAAATCTTGCTGCAGAACATTGACGCCATTGGTTCATTGTCTTCTAGTAGCCAAGGCTGCTGATGAGATGGGAGAGGCTAGCCTGATGCACACTTTTTGGTAGGTGACCAGGTTTTTCTTCCCAGAAGCTTTAAGAATTTTCTGTCCTTGTACTTCTGAAATTCCACACTAGTGAGATGAATATGGGTCTTCTTTCCTTCAGAATGTTAGATGCTTGGTGAACCTTTATAATCTAAAGACTTGAATTATTTACCTCTGGGGAAATTCTAACATTTCTTTGATAATTTCCTTCCATCCATTTATCAGGGTTTCTCCTTTTGCAGTTCCTCTATTTGTTGGATATTGTATGTATAGAATTGAATCCTTTTTGTTACTTATCTTTTTTCTACAATTTTCTCCTTATTTTCCTACCCTTACACTGAATTTTTCATCCTGGCAAATATCATTTTAAAACAAATTTTCAAGTGCTCCTTTTTTTCAATGTTTCTGCTTTTTTTAAATAGCACCTTCCTCCACTCCCTACCCTTTTCCCCCAAAATGGATGCAATCATTCGAAACCTTTTTGACGATACAAACTAGAAAAAATCTTTTTCTAAATTGGGACTCAGAGTACCAAAAATGTTCTTGGGGGTGGATAGAAAAGATCAATGTTGATGACCCAACTTCCAAAAACTTGCTACTCTTTTAGCCTTAACACATTCTTCTGTTTCTTAGAAGTTTAAATTTTTACTAATCACATCAGCAAACTATTTTCTATATACTTTTATGTATATGCAAAGTCATAGCAGCATACTATGC